CGCGCGTGCGCGCGTGCGCGTGTGCGCGTGTGCGCATGTGCGCGTGTGTCGTGCGCGGGTGCGTGTGTGCGCGTGTGCGTGTGAGCGTGTGCGCGCGTGCGCAGGTGCGCGCGCGTGCGCGCGTGCGCGTGTGCGCGTGCGCGCATGCGCGTGGGCGCGCGTGTACGCGTGGGCGCGTTGGCGCGCGGGCGCGTGGGCGCGGGCGCGGGCGCAGGCGTGGGCGCGGGCGCGGGTGCGGGCGTGTGCGCGTGTGCATGTGCGTGTGCGTATGCGTGTGCGTGTGCGTGTGTGCGTGAGCGCGTGTGCAGGTGCGCGTGCGCGTGCGCGTGCGTGTGCGTGTGCGTGTGCGTGTGCGTGTGCGTGTGCGTGTGCGTGTGCGTGTGCGTATGCGGTGCGCGTGCGCGTGCGCGTGCGCGTGCGTGCGCGTATGCGTGTGCGTGTGCGTGTGCGTGTGCTTGTGCGTGTGCGTGCGCGTGTGCGTGTGCGTGTGCGTGTGCGTGTGTGCGCGTGTGCGTGTGCGTGTGCGTGTGGCGTGTGCGTGTGCGGGTGTGTGTTTGGTGTGCGCGTGCGTTCCATCTGGCGATTTTCGGCTGCAGACCGCCTCGGGAGAGCGGTCGAGAGCCACAAGAGCCCCCCAAAAAACGGCCCAAGACAACGCACAGAGAGCCTAAATAAAGCCTCGAGGCGGCCCTCGAGACCCACCAAGCCGCCCCCCTTCGATGAGGAACGGCGTGACGATGACAATCACGATGCAAACCAATAGTGTTGTTCCACTGCTGCTGCGACCAGCTCGTGCCAGAGTGCCTGAGTGGAGACGAGCCTCTGCGGGAGAACCTGGTCGAACCATCACGCCCGAGATGGCCATCAAAGATACAACGGGCCCCAAAGCGGCCCCAGACTGACCCCTGGAGGCCCCTAAGAAGGATCCAGCAAGCCCAAATCCGCCGATCCAACGTGTGAGTTTGTGAGAGCGTGGGCTTGAGCTCGCTCAAGCTTCGCTCTGGAGAGGGGGGGGACGAATTCCAACGGAAGTCACTGAACGCACAAGCCCCCCCGCCTCCCACACACACACACACACACACACACACACACACACTTCCCTCTCTCCGAGAGGAATCTTCTTCTCTGACCCCCCCACCTCTCCGACAGCCCCCTCCAAAAAAAGACCCCCCCCCCCTTGCAGGACACACCCCACCCCTCTCCGACAGACCCCCTTCCCCCCTTTCCGAACAGATCCTCCCCCCTCTCCGACAGAGATTCCGGCGTGTGAGTTTGTGAGAGCGTGGGCTTGAGCTAGCTCAAGCTTCGCTCTGGAGAGGGGGGGGGGGGGGCGAATTCAACGTGTCTGATTGAACGCAACAAGCCACCCCGGCTCACACACACCACACACCACACACACACACACACACACCACTCCCTCCTCGAAGAGGAATTCTTCTTCTTGACCCCCCCTCCGACAGCCCCCCCCCAAAAGACCCCCCCCTTTCCAGGACAGACTCCACCCCTCTCCGACAGACCCCCTTCCCCCCTCTCCGAACAGATCCTCCCCCCCCTCTCCGACAGAGATTCCTTTCTCCGACAGACCCCTCCCTTCTCTCCAACGACCCCCCCCTTTCTCCGACAGGCCCCCCCCGCCCCTGGAAGAGCAGCACAAGCAGCAGCGTGTGAGTTTCTGAGAGCGTGGGCTTGAGCTCGCTCAAGCTTCGCTCTGTCGGGTGGGGGGGGGGGGGGGGGGGGGGCTGACGCCATTCAGGCCCGGAGAGGGAGGAAGAGGGGAGGGGGGGCTGGACGCCATAACAGGCTGGGGAGGGAGAGGGGGGGGGGGGATGACACCCGCACGGCTCCGGGAGGGAGGAGGGGGGGGGCGGGGGGGCTCGCTCTGTCGGGGGGGGAGAGGGGGGGGGGATGACGCCATATCAGGCCCGGGAGGGAGGAGGGGGGGGAGCTGCTACGCCATTCAGTCCCCGGGAGGGAGGAGGAGGGGGCTTCGCTCTGTCGGGGAGGAGGGGGAGGAGAAGTGTAGGGGGGGGGGGGCTGACGCCATTCAGGCCCGGGAGGCTCAGGAGGAAGGGGGGAACGGGGCTGACGCCTACCCAGGACCAGGAGGGAGAGAGGGGAGGGGGGCTGACACCATTCAGGCCCGGGAGGGAGAAGTCGGGGGGGGGGGGCTGACGCCATGGCTGACGCCACTCAGGCCCTGGAGGAGGAAGTCGGGGAGAGGGGGGGGGGGAGCTGACGTCATGGCTGACGCCATTCAGGCCCGGGAGGGGGATCTGGAGGGGGGGAGGTAAGGAGCCCTGACGCCATGGCTGACGCCATTCAGGCCCGGGAGGGAGAAGTCGGGGGGGGGGGGGGGGGCGGGGGCTGACGCCATTCAGGACCAGTGGATGCGGCTCGACGGCCATGACGCTATTCAGAGAGGGTGGGGCGGGGGAGATGACGCCATCAGGCCCTGGGAGGGAGGAGGGGGGGGGACTTCGCTCTGTCGGGAGGGGGGGAGGGCTGACGCCATTCAGGCCCGGGAGGGAGAGGGGGGAGGGGGATCTGACGCCATTCAGACCCGGGAGGGAGGAGGGGGGGGGCTTCGCTCTGTCGGGGGATGGGGGGGGGCGCTGACGCCATTCAGGCCTGGGATGGCTGACGCCATTCAAGCTCGGGAGAGGAAAGGAAGGGAGGAGGGCCGACGCCATGGCTGACGCCATTCACGCCCAGGACGGGGGAGTCGGGGGGGGCGGGGGCTGACGCCATGGCTGACGCCATTCAGGCCCGGAAGGTGGGAGACGACATCCCATGAGTTTGGCTGTTCACGCGAGATCGTCACTTTCGAATATCCGAAGGTTGCCCAAACGAGTTCAACATCTCTATATTATGATGATATTTCGAGCGAGTGCTCCTCTTTTAAACAGAAACGGTCATCCGTTGCAAGCAGAATCGGTAGCACCCTGGATCGGCGGCACTGGCTGGAGGCCACTACAATATATCCCAGGAAGACTCCAACATGCCTACAAGAAAGGAAAGCGGAGCACTAGAAGGAGAAGGAAGAGAAGGAGGCGGAGGAGGAGGAGGAGGAGGAGGAGGACGACGACGAAGACGAGAGCGAAGCTGCAGACAAGAAGGAAGTGTTTAAGAAGCTCGCTAATTCAGACAGGGCGCCGAGCTGGAGCGGGTCTCAAACCCGACCTCCTTCCTACTTTGGGTCTGGCATGTCCTCCTACAGTCGGATGTTGGAAAAATCTGCAAAAAAAAAACCCAAGCAATACTCAAAATTAGCCTGGCGAAGGACCCAACCATATGCAGGAGTGAATACCGCAGTTGTCGGTATCGCCTTCGGTGGAGCTAGCCACGAAAAGCTGTACTGGGTGTGGGGGACACATGCGAACTTTGCCACTGGGGCCTTCGGTGGAGCTCCTCATGAGGCCACGCAACGCTGTGCGGGGTGGGGGGGACGCATGTGGACACCGCCGCTGGGGCCTCAGGTGGAGCTCCTTATGGGGCCACGAAACGCTCTGCTGGGTGGGGGGGGGGACGCTAGTGGACACCGCCACTGGGGCCTTAGGTGGAGCTCCCTATATGGGGCCACGAAACGCTGTGCTGGGTGGGGGCGGACGCATGTGGACACCGCCACTGGGGCCTTAGGTGGAGCTCCCGATGGGGCCACGAAACGCAGTGCTGGGTTGGGGGGTGGCGCATGTGGACACCACCACTGGGGACTTAGGTGGAGCTCCCTATGGAGCCAAGAAACGCTGTCCAGGGTGGGGGAGGACGCATGTGGACACCGCCATTGGGGCCTTAGGTGGAGCTCCCGATGGGGCCACGAAACGCTGTCCAGGGTGGGGGGGCGCATGTGGACACCGCCACTAGGGCCTTAGGTGGAGCTTCCTATGGGGCCACGAAACGCTGTGCTGGGTGGGGGGGCGCATGTGGACACCGCCACGGTGGAGCTCCCTATGGGGCCACGAAACGCTGTACTGGGTGGGGGGAATGCATGTAGTCACCGCCACTGGGGCCGTTGGTGGAGCTCCCTATGGGACCACGAAACGCTGTGCTGGGTGGGGGCGGACGCATGTGGACACCGCCACTGGGGCCTTAGGTGGAGCTCCCTATGGGGCCACGAAACGCTGTGCTGGGTGGGGGAGACGCATGTGGGCACTGCCACTGGGGCCTTAGGTGGAGCTCCTTATGGGGCCACGAAATGCTGTACTGGGTGGGGGGGCGCATGTGGACACCGCCACTGGGGCCTTAGGTGAAGCTCCCTACATGGGGCCACGAAACGCTGTGCTGGGTGGGGGGGGCGCATGTGGACATCGCCACTGGGGCCTTAGGTGGAGCTCCCGATGGGGCCACGAAACGCTGTGCTGGGTGGGGGGAGGCGCATGTGGACACCGCCTCTGGGGCCTTAGGTGGAGCTCCATATGGAGCCACGAAACTCTGTGCTGGGTGGGGGGCGCATGTGGACACCGCCACTGGGGCCTCAGGTGGAGCTCCCTATGGGGCCACCAAACGCTGTGGTGCGTGGTGGGAACAGGAGCAAGGATGGAAGGAGGGAGGAGGGGGAAGAGGAAGGAGAAGGAGTGAGACGCGGGGCGCTGTCTCCTCAAAACGAGGACCCAACATCACAGGATGGTCAGCATGATCGTCAAAGGAGCTCGAAGCATCGTCCCCAAATTTCGTTCTGACTATTCTTGAGCATGCCCCCCGTCGAGGGACACGTCCGACTCGAGCCGGCTGCGCTCCTGCGCTGGCACCGTGGCGGGGCCTGCAGCAGGCAGACGGACAACAGTACTGAAGGGGCCCCAGAACACACAAATAAATACACACAAATAAAAAGATTCCCCATATTTTCCAATATCTTCGGGGTTTCTGTCTTCCCCCCCACTTCCTATATCTTCCCATACTTTCCTGGGGGTCGACGATTAATCATGTCTGTGTGTTTTTATCCCTCCTGAAGTACGCCGGCCTCTGGCCGCAGCACGGCATCGGTTACATGACTCCCGACGGGCGGGGCTCCCGAAGGCGCGGGCGAGGCCAAAGTCCGCCAGCTTCAGCGCGCCCTCCTGGCGCGGCGGGGGGGGCGGGCGGCGAGAGCGACGAGGACGAGGAGCAGAAGGGCGGGAAAAGGCAGGAGATGGGCACGAGGCGGAGACGAGGAGGTCGAAGGAGGGGAAGGCGAACCAGACGCACACCGAGACCGAGAAGGCGACCGAGAAGGGAACAAGAACGGAAGCAGGAACACTACCAAAAAAACAACGCGATCGGAAGCGGTAAGGAACACATGAACAGAAGAATCGTGGGAAGGAGGACAAGGACGAGGAGGTCCGGGCAGGAAGGAGAAGGAGAACGGGAAGGATAGCGGGAACGAGCGAAGGAGATGGAACATGAGAACGAGGAGGAGGGGAGAAGAGATGGGCAGGGCGAGACGAGGAGGGGAAGGAGAGAACGAGGGCGAGAGCGAGAACGAAATAGGGAGAGCGAGGGGAGGCGAGCGAGACCGCGCTGCCAGCGGGTGCCGAGGTCTGGCCCTGAGCGGGGCGGCGCGAGAGGACCTCGGCACCAAATCCAGGGAGACGTGAGCCTCGCCGTGCGAGCGGCGGTGCAGTGTTGGACGGAGGGGGGCGACTTCCTCGAGGAGGGTGCAGACGGTGGTGAACGGCAGGACGAAGAGAGGTGGGAAGGAGGGGAGGCAGGGAGGGAGGGAGGACGACCGCGCCTCCCGCAGGAAGCAGAGCGAGGAGGGGGAGGGGAAGAATGCTAGAGAAGAGGACGGCGAGAAGAAAACACGAGACAGGGAGAAGGACACTGCGAATGCAAGGAAAACGAGGGGGGAACAAGAGGCAAGAGCGAGACTACGAAGAGCGCTTGTGCTCTGAGTAAGACAAGGAGATTGGAAGAGAGGAGGAAGCAGGAAAGAGGAAGGAAAGCAGAAGAAGAAAGGAAGAACAAGGGAGGACGACCAAGCTCGCCATAGGCTCAAAGGGTACATGATCCATCTTCGGGGATGAGGCGGTCATCGGACAAGTACTGGAGACATAGAGGCCTCCTAGATGAGGTCGGAGTAGATGGGGTCGGAGGACCGCGCCGCATCGCCGACACATCGGCGAAGCATCGGCGATGCATCGGCGATGCATCGGTGATGCAGCGACGTTGCATCGTCGACGTCGGCGATGCATCGGCGACGTCGACGTGAAGCAAATCGGGCTCCACACCTGCTCCGACCCCATCCAGGAGGCCCAGAAGACCGCGGGGCAGCCTGCGGGGAGCCCGTGCTGCCAGGACCCAGTAACTGTCCCACGGTGACCGAAACCAGTTACCAGCCTGGAACATATCCCTATCCCTATGCTGGGCACCTCCTCATCACGATGCCAATCCTAGGGGTTCCTTATTTTTTGAGGGCGAATCCCTAAGACTGTCGTCGCCTTTTGGCGTGTCAATCTTAGGGATAGGGACACGTTCGAGGCTGGTAAACCAGGGTGCCTCACGAGGCAGCGCGCCCGACGGAGCGCGCGTGCGAGGGGCAGGGAGGCGCGGCAGGCAGGGGGAGGGCCCGATTGATGAGGAGGTTCTGCGGCTTCAGGTCGCGGTGCAGCACCCGGTGCTGATGGCAGTACCTGGAGGCCGGGGGGAGGCTCGGCGAGGGTGCCAGTCGGCAGGCCGGACCAGCCAGGCGGCGTCCACAGCGGGGCGGCGCGAGGGGGCTGGGCGTCGAAGAGGGCGGAGGTGCTCCTGGGAAGGCGGAGGGGCCTCGCAGAAAGCCCCTGAAGCTTCAACAAGGCTTCTCGGAAGCTCACCCCCCTCGCGACACACCCCTGTGTGAGTATCGTTTAACCGATCCCCATCCCCAGCGGCGTGGCCTGGGCCCCACTGGCCGATTTACCCCCCTAGATGGGGATGTAGGTCGTTCCCTTCGGGTTTCGAGGGGTATATCCCCAACTGGGGTGGTAATTTAGTGGGGGTCTCGAAGGGGATGGGGATGGGGATGGGGATTGGTTAAACGATACCGACTGTGGGCACCGCCAAACCTGGAAGTCGGGGGAGGCTCAGTGAGGGGCCAGGTCGCTGTCGCCAGCGGTCGGTTTCGCCGCGGTCGGTTGACGGTCTCGCCGAGATCGACTTCGCACGTGGTCGGTTTCGACCAGTCACTCGGACTGGTCGTCTTCACCCTGTCGGTCTCGCCCGTGGTCACTGTCGCCCGGTCGGAATCGCCCGCCCGCTCTAGTGTCCCGCCCATCCGACCCGCGCGTTAGTGGCCCATCTGCTAGGGTCCGCCCGCCCGACCTTCCCCTTAGGGTCCACCCGCTCGTGAGGGTCCGCCCGCTCGCTTGCCGGCAAGCTCGCGCGCCCGCTTCAGCGACAAGCCTGCCCGACCTGCCCGTTGGAATCCGCCCGCCCAGGTCCGCGGTCCGACCCGCACGTGAGTATTCGCTGGCGAAGCCGACCGCGGGTGAACCCGAACCTGGCGAAAACAATCGCCGGCGAAGCCAAGCGCCCGCGAAACCGAGCCCCGAAAAACCGACCGCGGCGAAAGCTGAGCCGACCACCAGCAAAAGCGGCCCCAGCACAACAGACCGAGCGAAAGCGACCCCTGGCGAAACCAACTCGTGCCTCAGTGAGGGCCCGCTTGAGGATGAGGATACAGGACAAGAAACCACATAGGCATGCACTTCCGACGTCAGAGGAATGATGTCTCCGCCAGCGCCAGATCTCCTCGTCGAAAGCCCACGGCAACACCTTCAAGGTCGCCCATGGCGCATCTCGCGCGCTGGAGAGGGGTAGGGGGCCCAGCGCAAGCGGAGAAGCCGCCCATGAAAGTCGGAGTGTATAATGATGCGGCTGTCTGGGTCGCTTATCCGCCACCGCGCCCCGAGGCACGAACTGAAGTGTCCTCAGGTCCCTGCGAGCCCTCCGCATGGTGCAGAAGAATATCCTGCAAGAACATGAGACCCTCCGCAGGCCCAAAGTGAAGAACACTCGAGGGCACCCTCCCAGAGCCGACCTCGATCTTCTTCAATCAGTGCTTGCACTGAAGGGGTCCCAGCGGAGATTGAAAGATTTGGCGAAAAAGCCAGGCCGATTTCGGTGGGCGGCCTGGTTCCCGGGTTCTTGCTGGTTCCAGGCCGAGTTCGGTGGGCGGCGGGCTTCCCCGTTTCCCAGCTTCCTGGTTGATCTTCTTATCGATCGGTCTCACCATCGATCTCATTACCCACCTCTCTATCGATCTCTATCAATATCATAATCGATCTCACGATCGACCTCACTATCGATCGCACGAACGATCTCACGATCGGTCCCACTAGCAATCTCATTTAATCGACTTCACTACCGGTCTCACGATCGACCATACAATCGTCCTCACTATCGATTAGACGATCGGTCTCAGTATCGATCGCACCATGGATCTCAATATCCATATCACTAATTTTCAAACCATCCACTGATTGGGATCTCCCTGGTGTAATTACACCTCGGACCAACCGTTCTCAATAGTTCCCCCAATCAGTGCTTGCACTGGAAGGGTCCTAGCGGATCTTGAAAAATTTCGAAAAAAAGCGGCCGACTTCGGTGGGCCGCTGGGTTCCCGGGTTCCTGGTTCCGGTCTCCCGGGTTCCCGGGTTCCCGGGTCCCCGGGTTCCCGTTCGCTGGTGGAAAGCCGACTTCGGTGAGCGGCGGGGTTCCCAGGTTTTCGGGTTCCCCGGCTCCTGGTCGATCTGCTTATCGATCGGTCTCATCATTGATCTCATTACCCACCACTCTATTGATCTCACAATCGAGCTCACTATCGATCTCACGGTCGATCTCATTATAGATCGCACGAGCGATCTCACGACCGATCTCAGTATCGATCTCACTGAGTCGACTTCACCGGTCTCACGATCGACCTTCCTATCGTCCTCACTATCGATCCCCCTATCGATCCAACTATGGATCTCACCATCTATCTCAATATCCATATCATTACTTTCCGAATCATCCACTGATTGGGCTTGCTCGGATCTAATGTGAGCACTGTTCTTCCAGGGGCCAGGGCCCGGATGCGCGGGCGCCACTGGGCGCTGCAAGGGCGGTTCGCGTGACTCTTCTGCAGGGGCCTCGAGAACGTTGGATTGGGACTCTCGCACGTCTGGCATGGCCTGCGATGGCCCGTGGCGGAGCCCTCATTGGGCGCCTCTTGGGCCGTCCTGCAGGCCCTGGAGGCGGGCGCTGCTTGGTCGGAGAAGCGCCCAGGACGGCCCAAGCCCCCCAAGAGCGCCCCGAGAATGCTCCCAAGATTCCCAGGAAGGACACAAGAGGCCCCCAGGACGGCCCCCAAAAAGGCCCAAGGCGGGGAGGGAACGTTTGGGGGCGCAGCAGGGTTCCAAGAGGGGGTCCTCAACACGGCCCCAGAGGCCCCCCAGGAGCACCCACGAGGCCCCGAGAGACCTCCAAGAGGCTCCCAAGAGTCCCCCAAGAGGCCCCCCCAAAAAAGGCAACAAAAAGGCCTCGAGAAGGGGCGCCACCCATGACACAGGCACGATAGCGGAATGTGTCGAAGGTCACTAAATATTAAAGGAAAAGATTGAGGAGAAGGGGGGAGCATGGGAAAGAGAAGGGGAAGAATACCGTGGCAGGAAGAGGAGATGGAGATGGAAGAGCAGGAGGGGGAAGAGGAGGAAAGGGAATGGAGCAGGGAAGGAAGGACGGAAGAGGAGGAAGAGGAGGAGGAGGAGGAGGAGGCCGAACATCCGCTCAGAGTCGGTCTCTGGACCCCTCCCTGGGGCCATACAGGCCGGAGTCCCATGTTGGATAAATGTTTGACAGCCCCGGAATCCGAAATGGGTCTCCAGAGCCCAACTCATCCTGGCCAAGGGGGAGGAGAAGGAGGAGGAGGAGGAGGAGGAGGAGGTCAAGGGCAAGAACGGGTCTTTCTGGCGACAGCGGTCGTTATCGCAACTCTCTGCCAAAGTGCAGTCGCCAAACATTGCACGATGGTATCCGTCCTTAACTTCGGAGTTGCGCCAAGTTCTACCCGCCCTACACTCGATGACTGCGCTCTAGATTGCCGAAGGGCTCACATTAACATGCGGGGCAGAGCGAACACAAATCCTTGGCCCATCCACGATGGAGAAGGACGTGGACGATCAGCTTGAAGGAAACGAGCCCTAAAGTGAAGGTGTCCTGGAGCTCTTCGCCGCTTTCGAGCCCCGGATGCCGTCCACGAGCCTGGAGATGGTCAAAACAAAACTCTGGATGAAGATCTGGTCCTGGCAAAAGCCACGTGGTCTGTAGGAGAAGGATGGCTTATCGTCTTCATGGGCACACTAATTGAGCCACTCGCACGCGCTGGTCCCAGCGCTGTAGCTCCTGAGGCGGCTGGCTTGCCACCCCACTCAGGGCCAGTGCCCGCACCACTGGCCCTGTCTGTAGGGGAGGAGAGTGGCACAAGACTTTGTCGCCCCCACCCACCCCAGCAGCACTGTGCTTGCAAGGCGTGGGTGTGCGGGACCGTGGAGAAGGCAACGGGGGCCTGAAAACTTGAGCACGGGTGGACAAGGAGCAGGACTGAGGACAGGAGGGGGGACAGTTAGTCTCAGCTGGGTCATAGACCAAAAGCTGATGTTATAAGTACCAACTAGACACCTACCCTTCACGGCCAGAAGGAGGATGGATCATGAGGGCCACGTGCCCGAAACCGCTGGAGCCCAAGCCGAGGCGTGCGGGAATAGCTTTGCCTCCCACCTGCCCGCGCCGAGTCTGGCGTCCTGCACGCGAGGTCAAGACCTGAAAACGACGGGTTCCAGCCAGCCTCCTGATCGATTCCCTTCTCCTGCCCCTCGGTGTGCCGATATGAAAAGCAGAAACTCATACGAACCCTGCCACTGGGGCCTTCGGTGGAGCTTCCCATGGGGCCACGAAGCGTGTGAGGGGTATGCCGAGATGACGATGGAGGGAGGTGCGACGCGGGGCGCTGCCGATTCAAATGCCCAACACCACTGGATGGTTGGGGAGCACCTGAAACCCAAGGATTTCGACATATTCAGGATCTGGGCATCTTTGCAAACGTCAGTCGTCCTAAGGAGCTTATGGCTGTCTTGCCACATGCCAGCTGATTCTTGTTGTGAGTCCGCAGTACGTCGTTGCGGCTCACTTTCTCCTCCCCCTGGCTGGGACCCCCCAAAGCTACGGCCCAAATGTCACCTGAATCACTGCGAGGCACTTCGTCCTATTGCACCAACGTGCGGTATCCACAGCACTTCCCAGATCATGACCTATCCTCACTCGAGCAACGCCACAAGGAGATAGGGTGCACCAGAGCGAGTGCGGTGGTCTGCTCATCTCTAGAAGAAGGACGCCGCTTGGCGCCCTTCATTACTCCTCTGCCCCTGATCGATTGCGGCTGAGCCTCGAATCTAGACGACGTCTACCACGCGGTCATCCCCCCCGCATCCTCCAAAAACCTTGATCCTCTCGGGCTCGGGTTCGGGCTCGGATTCGGGCCTGGGCTCAAGCTCATATCGGGATCGGGCGCGGGCGCGGGCTCGGGCGCGGGTTGGGGCTACAGTCGGGGCTGATCGGATATGACACGCGAGAAAACACGAGACCCTTCCGAGGGCCGCATTGCCATAGGAATGCAAAGGCACAGGTCGCGAAACGCAGGACACAAAGGCACCCTTACCTTGGCAAGGTAGGCCTTCTGATCGGCCTCGTCTGCGGGGCTCGGGCCCGCAAGAGGGCGTCCGCTCGGGCAGCCCCCCCTCCCCCCCCTGCGAAGTCGGCCGCGGGCACGCGATGCCGCGCAGGAGCTGATACAGGAACGACTGCCGCGGGAGGGGGGGGAAGCGGCAGCGTGAGATCGCAGGAGGGATCGAGGAGGAGGACCGGTGCAAAACCAAGACTCATCAACGATGTTGCAGCAAACCACCCCTCCAGGTTCCCTCTTCAGAGGCCCCTACGATGGTTTGTTTTCACTGGGGGGCACGCCCCGATGGAGGACAACCGCCTGAAAATCCTGAACCGCTCCAGAACACCACTCCTGGGACGTCACGCCGCGAACCATCGTGGCCGCGAGGGCATCCCAGCTGTTCCAGATCTTCTTCGCATCGCCTCGTCCCGTTAAGTATGCGAAACGGGGCCTGCGAGGCAGTCTGGCGGCCCTGTGGTCGCCGTCGCCGCCCCGTCGCCGCCCCGTCGCCCGCCCGCCGTCTGGGCCTGCGTGGCGGTCTGGCGGCTCTGTGGTAGCCGTCGCCGCCCCGTCGCCGCCTCGCCGCCGCCCGTCATCTGGACACAGGTGCCGGTCTGGCGGCTCCGTGGTCGCCGTCGCCGCCTCGTCGCCGCCAAATGGCCCGAGGCACGCCATGCGAACCCTGCCATTGGCGCCTTCGGTGGAAGTCCTATGGGGCCACGATCTTCGTCAGGGGTGTGCCATAATGGCCCGAGGCCGCCATGCGAACCTTGCCACTGGCGCCTTCGGTGGAGCTCCCTATGGGGCCACGATCCTCGTGAGGGGTGTGCCGAAATGGCCCGAAGCCGCCATGCGAACCCTGGAGCTCGGACACGATCCTCGTGAGGGGTGTGCCGAAATGGCCCGAGGCCGCCATGCGAGTTCCGCCACTGGGACCTTAGGTGAAGCTCCATATGGGGCCACGATCCTCGTGAGGGGTGTGCCGAAATGGTCCGAGGCACGCCATGCGAGTTCCGCCACTGGGAGCTTAGGTGAAGCTCCACATGGGGCCACGATCCTCGTGAGGGGTGTGCCGAAATGGCCCGAGGCCGCCATGCGAGTTCCGCCACTGGGACCTTAGGTGGAGCTCCCGATGGGGCCACGAAACGTGTGAGGGGTGTGCCGAAATGGTCCGAGGCACGCCATGCGAGTTCCGCCACTGGGACCTTAGGTGAAGCTCCATATGGGGCCACGATCCTCGTGAGGGGTGTGCCGAAATGGTCCGAGGCACGCCATGCGAGTTCCGCCACTGGGACCTTAGGTGGAGCTCCCGATGGGGCCACGAAACGTGTGATGGGGGTGCGCCGAAATGGCCCGAGGCACGCCATGCGAGTTCCGCCACTGGGACCTTAGGTGGAGCTCCCGATGGGGCCACGAAACGTGTGAGGGGTGTACCGAAATGGCCCGAGGCACGCCATGCGAGTTCCGCCACTGGGACCTTAGGTGAAGCTCCATATGGGGCCACGAAACGTGTGACGGGTGTGTCGAAATAGCCCGAAGCCGCCATGCGAGTTCCGCCACTGGGACCTTAGGTGGAGCTCCCTATGGGGCCACGATCCTCGTGAGGGGTGTGCCGAAATGGCCCGAGGCCGCCATGCGAGTTCCGCCACTGGGACCGCAGTTGGAGCTCCCCATGGGGCCACGAAGCGTGTGAGGGGTGTGCCGACACAGAGTCACGCGGAGGGCCGAGGCAAGGAGGGGGAGGAGGGAGGAGGTGGAGGAGGAGGAGGAGGAGGAGGAGGAGAGGAAGAGGAAGGAGGAAGGCGGAGACGCGCCGCACCGTCTCTTCAAAACGAGGACCCCACACCACAGGATGGTTGGGAACAATAAACTACTCCCCTGGGCTTATCCGCCCGCCTCGTCGTATTGCAAATTACATATGACGATGCCCCATCGTCCATCCTAGATATGAGGTCCGACAGTCCCAGCCGAAACGGTATCGACACCCCCCGTCATCCCCAACCATAAAAATTATGCGCGCATTCGCTTATCAAAAATCATCGGTGTTCAAAAAACCCTTGCAAAACAAATGGCAAAATGCACACGCGCGAGTCGTGGCGTGCGCATGCCGAAGTCTGTCAAAAACCCTAAGTTCCGTAAGTAGTTCAAAATCGAGGGTCCCAAAAACATTTGTATATATAACAAAATTTCGCAACATGGATCTTCAACAACAAATTGCGCCAGCTGTTTCCGCATGTTCCTAACATGCTACCCCACGAGGGTTCGCGCGCGCATGCCGAAATCGTTCGAACGCCCTTGCGCGCGTGCTGTCGCAAGAACCCGCTGCAAAAAAAAACGAACTGCACGCGCGGGCGCGTCGTCGCGCGCGCATGCCAAAATCCGTCAAAAATCGTAGGTTCCGTATGGGTTTAAAAACCGAGTGTCGCGAAATCATAAAAACACATGGTTTCGCAGCATCAATTCTCTACATCCTGGGCGGGCTCATTGCTTTTCTAAAACACCCTCTCTTTTTCCTGTTCCCCCGTTTCGTTTTCCCGCCCCCTACCATACCATACCATTCGTACCAAACCATACCACACCTACCATACCATACTCACCAATACCATACCATTCGATACCTACCATATCATACCTACCACATAGCACACCTACCACACCATAACAATACCATATGTGCCATACCATGCCAACCAAACCACACCACCTACCATACCATACCACACCTACAATACCAAAACTACCATACCAGACCTACCACTCCAGGGAAGCCACGCCAGAACGAGGACAGCATCGGGACACCATACCATTTACAAGGTGTCGTGCCCTCTCCCACCCCTCCAGGGAGGCCCCGTCTGAGCGAGGAGGGTATGCGAAAACCATGTTATGCATCACGTGTCGTGCCCCTCCCACTCCTCCAAAGAAGCCCCGCCTGCGCGAGGAGGGCATTCGAAACCCATGTTATGTATCAGGTGTCGTGCCCCTCCCACTCCTCCAGGGAGGCCCCGCCTGAGCGAGGAGGGTGTTCGAAAACCTTGCCACGTATCAGGTTTTGTGCCCCCCTCCCACACTCCTCCAGGGAGGCCCCGCCTGAGCGAGGAGCGTGTTCGAAAACATTATAACAGACGGAGAAAAAGTTGGAAAAGAAATTCCTCACTTTTCGCATGGAATCATTTGAGCACGCATCATATCAACAGCAACTTCCATCGGTCACATGCAGCGCTGCATGCACGTCGAGCCGACGTGGGCCAGGGTCTCAAAATCTGCACGACATTGTATGAATTCACGCACCCGACGCGTCCGATGGCTGTCTCAAAGCGGTCTCAAACAGTCTCAAAGGGTCTCAAAGTGCCCAAAGCCTTCGGCGCCGAGCACGCCCGCGAGCCTCACATTGTCTCAAAGTGCTACGAAACCCTCGGCGCCGAACGCAATGGCGCGTCCCGACGGGTTCCAAATCGCCCCGAAACCCTCGGCGCCGAGTACGAGACACGCCACCAACCAATCACGCGGGAGTTCGAGCGCAGAGTGTATACTCCAACGCGTGTGCATGTGTGTCTGCGTGCGTGCGTAGTGGTTTGTGGTGCGCGTGCGTGCGTGGTTGGTGGTATGTGCGTGCGCGTACATAAGGCGACGCGCTGCAATGCAACCACGTTCGCTGCAACGCTAGGCCATGGAAAGCAATGGGACCGAAACGTCCGCACGCATTGGACTAAGTGTGGACATCGCCCTTTCGCGCAAGGCATTCAGTACCTCTGCAACCTCAATGGCGGCGCCTCGAAGAACGTGGCCCCCAGGCGAGCGCGAAATCCATTTCCAAGCATTTCTTCTCGGACTGTATGTAACACTGTCGCGCCCCTTTCCACTCCTCCAGGGAGGCCCCGCCTAAGCGAGGAGGGTATGTTCGAAAACCATGCTATTGATCAAATGCCATACCCCTTCCACTCCTCCAGGGAGGCCTCTCCTGAGCGAGGAGGGTGTTCGAAAACCATGTCGTTTATCAGATGTCGCGCCCCTCTCACCCCTACAGGGAGGCCCCGTGTGAGCGAAGAGGTATTCGAAAACAATTGTATGTATCAGGTTTCGCGTCCCTTCCACCCATCCAAGAAGGCCTCGCCTGAGCGAGGGTATTCGAAAACCATGGTATGTATCACGTGTCGTGCCCCTCCCACTCCTCCAAAGAGGCCCCGCCTGAGCGAGGGGGGTATTCGAAAACCATGTTATGTATAAGGTTTCGTGCCCCTCCAACTCCTCCAGGGAGGCCCCGCCTGAGCGAGGAGGGTATTCGAAAACCATGCCATGTAGCAGGTTTCGTGGCCCCTCCCACTCCTCCAGGAAGGCCCCGCCCGAGCGAGAAGGGAATTCGCAAGCCATGCTCTGTATCAGGTGTCGTGCTCCTCCCACTGCTCCAGGGAGGCCCCGCCTGAGCGAGGGTGTGCGAAACCCGTACTGTCTCAAGGTTTCGCGACCCTTCCCACCCCTCCAGGGAGGCCCCGACAGAGCGAGGCCAACCCCCCCACCCTCGCCTTACTTGCTCTCCCGCCTTTCCCTCCATCGCCTTTTCACTGTGACCCCCTGCTCCTCCCTCACCCCTTCCATTGTTCCCCTGTCCTTCCTCGTCCACTTCCTGCCTCTCTTCTCAACGTCCTCCCTCTCCGATTGCTCGCCCTTCTTCCTTCCTGATGCTCCTGCTCGCCATATTCCTCTTCTCCTCTTCACTTTCCCTCACTCTGCACTTTCTCCTCCGCCTCTTCCCTCCTCCTCCTCCCCATTCTTCGACCCCTTCGCCCGCGTCGTGCACGCGGGATGTCCCCGATAACATGTGCCTGCAAATCGCCATCGCCCATCGCCATCATCATCGTCCCCGTCGCCCGGCCATCGCCGTGATCCCCTCCACCCCGCACCTCCCATTCTTCCTCTTGCTCCTGACTCGCCCTCTCCTTGCTTCTGCGCGATGCCCCTATCATAGGCGCTGCCGACTGTAACCGCAAATGCACCGCACCCGCGGGGGGGCGCGCAGCTTGAGAACAGAAACGACGGCCGCTAGGACAACGGGGCAATTTCGCAAGAGTCTTGTATGCCATTCGATAGCGTCGCTCTCGTTGTCCCCCTCTATCCATCTTCCTACACCTCTTGCGCCCC